GGAGTACAGGCCGGATCACGATACACTCTGTCGGCTATCATCCCGATTGTCTCGTCCACAGGTAGACGAGAAACTTGTGAGACTCCTCAGTCTCACAAGTGAATTTTATTGAAGGTACCAAAGAATTGAGTTCATTAAGAAAAACTATCTGGTCTTCGTCGCACGGCCATAAGCACAAAATATCATCAACATACCTAAACCAAACTACATTAGCCGGGATAATCCTGGATAAGATTTTTGTTTCAAAGAATTCCATATACAAATTGCTTAAAACTGGGGAAAGGGGATTGCCCATCGCCATACCAAATGTTTGTTGGAAAAATTTTCCATTAAAACTAAAATAATTGTCTTTTATACACAATTTGATAAGTTCCAATAAGCTAAGCTATACCTGCTTTTGGTTAATTCTTTCCTAGGGATGGGTTGGTCAGGTGTCGGCCTATATATCCTCCCCCCTTCTCCCTTCTCCTTAGTCAGTCTGGTGTTGACAAAGGCTTTCTCATTTCATATTTCTCTGTGGATTTCTCTGGCATATATATATATATATATATATATATATATATATATATATATATATATATATATATATATATATATATATATATAACTGAAAACTCACACCCCAGAAGTGACTCGAACCCATACTCCCAGAAGCAACGCAACTGGTATGTACAAGACGCCTTAATCCACTTGACCATCACGACCGGACATAATGAGGTGATAGCCGAGGCTATTTGAACCACCCCACCGCCGGCACTCGGATAGTTATCTTGGGCATAGCATTTTACCAAATCACCTCATTCTTAGGGGCACACGTGAGGAACACAAATGCGAACAAGCCAGAATGGTCCCCTGGACAATATGCAACTGAAAACTCACACCCCAGAAGTGACTCGAACCCATACTCCCAGAAGCAACGCGACTGGTATGTACAAGACGCCTTAATCCACTTGACCATCACGACCGGACATAATGAGGTGATAGCCGAGGCTATTTGAACCACCCCACCGCCGGCACTCGGATAGTTATCTTGGGCATAGCATTTTACCAAATCACCTCATTCTTAGGGGCACACGTGAGGAACACAAATGCGAACAAGCCAGAATGGTCCCCTGGACAATATGCAACTGAAAACTCACACCCCAGAAGTGACTCGAACCCATACTCCCAGAAGCAACGCAACTGGTATGTACAAGACGCCTTAATCCACTTGACCATCACGACCGGACATAATGAGGTGATAGCCGAGGCTATTTGAACCACCCCACCGCCGGCACTCGGATAGTTATCTTGGGCATAGCATTTTACCAAATCACCTCATTCTTAGGGGCACACGTGAGGAACACAAATGCGAACAAGCCAGAATGGTCCCCTGGACAATATGCAACTGAAAACTCACACCCCAGAAGTGACTCGAACCCATACTCCCAGAAGCAACGCAACTGGTATGTACAAGACGCCTTAATCCACTTGACCATCACGACCGGACATAATGAGGTGATAGCCGAGGCTATTTGAACCACCCCTCCGCCGGCACTCGGATAGTTATCTTGGGCATAGCATTTTACCAAATCACCTCATTCTTAGGGGCACACGTGAGGAACACAAATGCGAACAAGCCAGAATGGTCCCCTGGACAATATGCAACTGAAAACTCACACCCCAGAAGTGACTCGAACCCATACTCCCAGAAGCAACGCAACTGGTATGTACAAGACGCCTTAATCCACTTGACCATCACGACCGGACATAATGAGGTGATAGCCGAGGCTATTTGAACCACCCCACCGCCGGCACTCGGATAGTTATCTTGGGCATAGCATTTTACCAAATCACCTCATTCTTAGGGGCACACGTGAGGAACACAAATGCGAACAAGCCAGAATGGTCCCCTGGACAATATGCAACTGAAAACTCACACCCCAGAAGTGACTCGAACCCATACTCCCAGAAGCAACGCAACTGGTATGTACAAGACGCCTTAATCCACTTGACCATCACGACCGGACATAATGAGGTGATAGCCGAGGCTATTTGAACCACCCCACCGCCGGCACTCGAATAGTTATCTTGGGCATAGCATTTTACCAAATCACCTCATTCTTAGGGGCACACGTGAGGAACACAAATGCGAACAAGCCAGAATGGTCCCCTGGACAATATGCAACTGAAAACTCACACCCCAGAAGTGACTCGAACCCATACTCCCAGAAGCAACGCAACTGGTATGTACAAGACGCCTTAATCCACTTGACCATCACGACCGGACATAATGAGGTGATGGGGTGGTTCAAATAGCCTCGGCTATCACCTCATTATGTCCGGTCGTGATGGTCAAGTGGATTAAGGCGTCTTGTACATACCAGTTGCGTTGCTTCTGGGAGTATGGGTTCGAGTCACTTCTGGGGTGTGAGTTTTCAGTTGCATATTGTCCAGGGGACCATTCTGGCTTGTTCGCATTTGTGTTCCTCACGTGTGCCCCTAAGAATGAGGTGATTTGGTAAAATGCTATGCCCAAGATAACTATCCGAGTGCCGGCGGTGGGGTGGTTCAAATAGCCTCGGCTATCACCTCATTATGTCCGGTCGTGATGGTCAAGTGGATTAAGGCGTCTTGTACATACCAGTTGCGTTGCTTCTGGGAGTATGGGTTCGAGTCACTTCTGGGGTGTGAGTTTTCAGTTGCATATTGTCCAGGGGACCATTCTGGCTTGTTCGCATTTGTGTTCCTCACGTGTGCCCCTAAGAATGAGGTGATTTGGTAAAATGCTATGCCCAAGATAACTATCCGAGTGCCGGCGGTGGGGTGGTTCAAATAGCCTCGGCTATCACCTCATTATGTCCGGTCGTGATGGTCAAGTGGATTAAGGCGTCTTGTACATACCAGTTGCGTTGCTTCTGGGAGTATGGGTTCGAGTCACTTCTGGGGTGTGAGTTTTCAGTTGCATATTGTCCAGGGGACCATTCTGGCTTGTTCGCATTTGTGTTCCTCACGTGTGCCCCTAAGAATGAGGTGATTTGGTAAAATGCTATGCCCAAGATAACTATCCGAGTGCCGGCGGTGGGGTGGTTCAAATAGCCTCGGCTATCACCTCATTATGTCCGGTCGTGATGGTCAAGTGGATTAAGGCGTCTTGTACATACCAGTTGCGTTGCTTCTGGGAGTATGGGTTCGAGTCACTTCTGGGGTGTGAGTTTTCAGTTGCATATTGTCCAGGGGACCATTCTGGCTTGTTCGCATTTGTGTTCCTCACGTGTGCCCCTAAGAATGAGGTGATTTGGTAAAATGCTATGCCCAAGATAACTATCCGAGTGCCGGCGGTGGGGTGGTTCAAATAGCCTCGGCTATCACCTCATTATGTCCGGTCGTGATGGTCAAGTGGATTAAGGCGTCTTGTACATACCAGTTGCGTTGCTTCTGGGAGTATGGGTTCGAGTCACTTCTGGGGTGTGAGTTTTCAGTTGCATATTGTCCAGGGGACCATTCTGGCTTGTTCGCATTTGTGTTCCTCACGTGTGCCCCTAAGAATGAGGTGATTTGGTAAAATGCTATGCCCAAGATAACTATCCGAGTGCCGGCGGTGGGGTGGTTCAAATAGCCTCGGCTATCACCTCATTATGTCCGGTCGTGATGGTCAAGTGGATTAAGGCGTCTTGTACATACCAGTTGCGTTGCTTCTGGGAGTATGGGTTCGAGTCACTTCTGGGGTGTGAGTTTTCAGTTGCATATTGTCCAGGGGACCATTCTGGCTTGTTCGCATATATATATATATATATATATATATATATATATATATATATATATATATATATATATATATATATATATATGATTTATATTCAGGTTTGAGCAAAAATGTTTGCAAATTTGCCGATCATACGAAAATCAGGATGGAAATAAACACGGAAAAAGACTCCCTATTTATTTATCAAAGCATTAGTAATAAAACTCATGGTTAGTGTTTACATCTTCATGTATATATCTTCATGAAGCTGTTGTTAGGTCTCATTTAGATTATGCAGTTCAGTTTTGGTCGCCATACTATAGAATGAATATAAATTCTCTAGATCGCGTCCAGCATAGGATGACAAAGTTAATCACACAAATTAGAAACCTGTCATATGAAGAAAATGTGACAGAACTTATTTTACATTCACAAGAAAGGCGAAGAATAAGGAGCGACATGATAGAGATGTGCAATTGGATAAATGGGCACAACAAATGGGATATTAATAGCGTACTAAAAGTATCAACACAAAATAGAAAATGAAACATTTGGTATAAATTGCATCAGCTTAAATTTGGACAGAATCAGGGTAAATACTGGTTCGGTTAATTGGTTGTCATTTGTGGAGCAACTTATTGCATAATACAATAGAAGTAAGATCCTTTGATTGTTTCAAGCGTAGGTTAGACATATATATGAATGAGTTTGGGTGGATCTTGCTCTCGTTAGGCCCCATTTAGATTATGCAGTTCAGTTTTGGTTGCTGTACTAAAGAATGGATATATATTTGCTGGAACGTGTCCAGCGTAGGATGACAAAGTTAATTCCCCAAATTAGAAACCTGTCATATGAATTAAGATTAACGAAGCTTAAACTGTATTCACTGGAAAGGCGAGAAGTTATGGGTGACATGATAGAGGTTTGCAAGTGGATGAATGGACATAACAAAGGGGACCATTAAGAGAGTATTAAAAGTATCAACACAAGGCAGAACACGAAACAATAGGAATAAATTGGATAAGTTTAGATTTAGGAAAGACCTGGGGTAAATACTGGTTCATGGTTCAGTAACAAGGTTGTTGATTTGTCGAACCAGTTGCAGCGTGGCATGGTGTAGGTGGGGTCCCTTAATTATTTCAAACGTGGGCTGGATATGAATATGATTCAGATTGGGTGGTTGCCTCGTATGGGTCAATAAGCCTTTTACAATTACCCTCATTCCTATGTTCTTAGTAATAGCCTGTGCTCTCTGTCTCTCTCTCCCTCACTTTAGGAGAGCCTCATTGAGACATACAGCAACAGCACTAGAAACTATGTAGTTAACAGTGTCTCTTGTCACACTAACGGTTCACAAAACAAGTTCTCAGCCGGCGACATTGTATATATGTAAGTATATAACTACATTTATTAATAACGTTTTATGCAGTTTAGATATCAGATTATCCTAAATTTAATTTATTTGCATTTGTGTAAATATATCTATTAGAAATCTATATATCAACTCGTTCTAGTATGTCGCAATTGTTTTACGAACTCGATCAGCCCGGTAAAACTGCGAAACATTAAAAAATAATTAAAACATTGTAATATTGACGTTTTCTGTGTATTGTCCTCGGATTACTAAATGTAATCCTTTGTTTAGATTTTATTGTTTGGATTCTTACTAAGTTGTTTGGGTTCCAACTTTGGTGATTAGGCAAAACAGTTGCTGTTTTTATGTAACTGCACATTGAGAAAACCGATTGTTTTTCCATGAAACTTACAGCAGGAAATTAATGTGCGAGGGACGCCTCAGTTCCATAACTCTCGACCACATGATTGGGCCAAGTTGTAATGACCAATGGACTCACTCTGTGTGTATATGGAGCTGCTGGTTCAGTGGTCGACTGGTTTCCGACAACCAGTGTTAAGATAACATGAGGAAGAACAAAAATGGATTGAAAGAGGAAATAAATAAAATAGATGTTTCCTGAAGACGAAAAGAAGAGCAGTCAGAAATCAACAAATAAATTACCAGTATGTAAATGTAATAAAATTTTAAATTTGACAAGAGAGTGATATCTGCCTAGCAAATGTATGTCATATATTCATCAACATTTTGAAAGTATTTCAGAGCATATTGCAAGGTGCTAACTTCAGAGAACATCAAATGTTATTGTTATCTATTCTTGTGCTTGATACTCAGCATTGAAGTCATCACAATTGAGTAATTGTGAGATTTTTTCTACGCCTACCTCCCTTAGGAGGTGGACTACAAGTTTAAAGGCTGCTCACAGCAGTTAAGCATGAGTCCAATAGAAAAAGGAGAAGAGGGAGCAAACCGCCAGACCTCCACCACTAGGGGTGAAAACCTGTCCACAATAGGCCGCTGGCTCCTCCTAGTTAAACAGGACGTTAAAACTAATAAAGGGTAACCGACGAGTTCTCACAATCAAATATTTATATTTGATGTGTCGCTATGAATTGGAATTCGAATTCCCAAGAACAGCCGTCGTATCAAGATCACATCAACATTTAATCGTAAAATGCAGAACATGGGTGGAAAAGAATGGTTGAAGGGTTGACATCAAAGACCGTTTTCTGTAACATAACAATTTATTAATAACAAGAGACTAACTACTACATTACCGAGTTTACGTTACGTTAATGTCCATCCAGTGGCACGATAACAAACAGCTAAATAGCAACCCTTGCAGTGCGGCTGCATACTGAACTAACCTGAACACAGGTGTGCCCACTGATAACGCAATATTTCAAATCTAAAAAAATATCACAGACTAAGTTACAATACAGCAAGTGGTTACGTTATTGTCCTTCCAGTGGCAATTGCAACACAGCTATTCAACAGCCCCTCGAGAAATGACAGCAGGCTCCATCCTGCTGACACTTCAGGCTGACAAGTGAACTAACTGAACAATGATGCCCACTGAAGACACAAGCATGCAATCAATAGTGTCACGGCTTCCCTGACAGCTACTCTAATCACAAACTTAAGGGTCCTCCCGCCCAACAGGAGTGACCCCCGTAATTAGGCGGGTAGTCCAACAGTTACTCCCTCTATCACAACCTAGTGTGAACACTCTTTGCAACTCCCTACAAGGAGTTGCACTGTAAACAGTAAACGAGTCAGGCAAGGTGGGATTCTAGGACACAGCTCCAGTAATCCCCAAGTTACTCTACTCTCGTCATCCGACGATAAACAAAAGAAATTGCCTTAATCAATTACCACTGATTATGTGATTAATTACGTTAATTGACTGATCGCAGCAGTCAGCAACAAAGTACTACGGTAATCACAAACAATTGTCTCTCATAGACAACAACATAATGGTACTCTACGTTAATCATTAACACGTGTCTCTCTTAACACATGTCATCTTGTTAACAATAACTCAAAACTATTATATTACATCACACTTGACTCCTTGCAAGTATTCAGTGAGTAATTCTTAATTAAGGTCAAACAGACCACTAATTACATCCCCATTGAGTTATGTTAACTAAGCCTAGCCTAACTTGGTAGCTTCTCGACAGTCGGTGTCAAAAATTACTATAGTGAGTGTTAATTACCCTAATTAACTCCGAGCAATTAATTAACTGTCACCAGGACTGATAATTAATCATCCATAAATACGTCTCACTCCGCACTGCCTAAGCAGGTCTCATCAAACACTGTGAATTCACGGGAAAGGAGTTAATTACCCCTAATTAACATGAGTGCAATTAATCCACTGTCCTCAGACAGGATATGATCAATATAACGATTTATACTAGCTCCATGACCTCGCTTTACCGAGTCATCTGAGTCCTCAAGACCCCAGACGTTAATTACTCCACTAATTATCATGAGCCACTAATTGCTATACCCCAGAAAGGTAATTAGTCCCGAGCAAATTCCGTTAACACAAACACTGACAGACTCTGACAGATCCTCTCCCACTATGTGAATTCATGATGAGAAGGCTAATTACATAATTAGCTAGAGTGGTCAATTAGTTGTCACACAGACAATTAATTGCACCCGAGACGTATGTCACTCAAGCTCAACACTGTTCTCCTATAACAGCTCTTACTCACTCAACAATAAGTGTGCACCCTTATCCAGTTAATTACCCCTTATTAATTAACTCACTGAATCCTTAAGTCCTCGACACAACTTAAAGAAACAAAGTAATCCCAGTGTTACATAGGTCACACTTCAATGGCATGCAACAACACAAATGCACTGCCCACATACGGTTGTGGCTACTGCAACTCGTTAATTACTGTGCCACACAGTAATGACACATGGTTGTGCAACAACAAGAGTATACCAATAATACTGCCCCCCTTATCTTGCAACCGTTGCAAAGGACTACTGTGAGCACACACTTACCTCAGCAAGCAATTAACAAATCAATTGCCTGCTCTCATTAAGTACTGTGAATTCCCCTGAATAATCCTAGAGGTCCCTTAAACCCTCAACACAGCTCCCAGGGCAGCAATATTGTATAAACTGATAACAACACTGCACAAACCTGCAACATAATGATGCCGTCAGCATACCCCACATGCTAATGATATCATTAGGCAATCAGTCAGCAATCACATCTATTGACTCACCACACAACACAGTACATAAAACATGCAAATGAACATAAGAAATGGCATTCACATAATCAATGAAAATTATATCACCAGATAATTGTATCTCTAACTACACAGACCTCAGGGTATCCACTGACATCCCTGCAACCTGGCCTGCCTACCTCTAATGATTATAATTTTACATGCTGGTACTCCATCGCACTAATCCAGTCTGACCGATTATTTAGAATCGACAACTGGATCATTTATATGGTAAATCTCTACACTGACCGGTTACATACCCGAGTCAGTCTACACTCTTATATAAACTTTATATAACTACAGTGTGGTACCGTGTACAACATCCATCTCCAGGTACCGCCCTACCAGTCACCTGGATGTGCCACTGACAGCTGTCACTCAGCTGCTTCCCTAGCCTGGCGGGGCTATGGGACAACACAGCTCTTACCAGGATTTCCACCGGTCCTCAACACGCTGTTACACAATGATAATTGTACTCACGTTCTTCACATCCTCATCAATCCTTTCCCTGGTCACTACCTCTCTGGCTGTAAACACCTAGCTCGCTCCTCGTGCGAGGTGTGGCCCTAAAATGTCCAGGGAAGTTGGCCAAACATATGGCCACCTCGTGGCCCTAGGGGTGGTCACGAGTAGCGCATGACGACACAGCACTCCCCCCCCCCCGGGCTGAGCTGGTGCGTGGGGTAGGGGTGGGGTTTGGCCGCGCAGGTGACCTGGGGGTGGCCCCCCCCCCCAGGCGGCTGGCCAAGGTGGGCGGCGCAGCCCTGGGGCGGGCGGCGCCCACATGGGATGGATGCTTCAGCCCAGCTGGCTGGCTGGCGCCTACAGGCATACACACGTGGATGGGAGATCACGTTACACCCCATCTTACCAGCATGCTCGCTTGTACACTCGAGCGACAATGGCCGGCGGCGTCACCACATGGCGGACCCAACACGGTGGAATACCAAGTCCAACAGGGGCCTGTAATGACACCTCACTTACACTGCCCTGATTCCACCAATTGTCCATTGTCCATACAACACTAGACAGGATATTCGAACCACCTGTTACACCATGAGGCTCTGCCAGCTGCCTCATGGGTGCCCACTGTCTCTGAGGCTTTTTTACTGGTCCTTCCGTACCTCATCGACTCCAATTCCACGCAAATTGGGCCTAGACACAACCCATGATGGCAGGAGTGCCATCCACGCTGAGTAACAAGGGAATGACCGCGATTAACTGGGTTGGAGGTGGCAGGCTGGCACCTCCACCCAGCTACATCCTCCTCAACTTGCTGTCCAGCTCAAACTAACGATTTCGCGGGCTAGGGGAACTCAAAATGCCCATATTCCCCCCCCCCCTACTTTGTCTTGACCAATCAGCACGAAGCCAGCACAACTCAAGGTGCTGTTTCCAATCACAGCTGTTCGTGCCAAAACTCAGCTAGGAGCAGAGATGCCTAACCCAATCACAGGCCTCCCTCACCCTCAGGCGTCCCGTGACGTCACAAGGAGGGGGAGGCCTAAAGACAATGGCGCAATGTCTCACATGGTTGGGGGGGGGAGGCAACGTTCACCCCACTGTTCCCACCACCTCTAAAACCGTTGGGAGTCAAGTACCTACCCACACCACTTCACTCTCAACTCCCATCCTATTTTCACAGAAACAGGAAAAGTCCTGTAATTCTCTCTACAGAGCAATCACAGACTTCTGACTAGTCACAAATGATAGTCCATAGCAAGAGCTTTCATCCAACACCCCACAAGTGTATGTTAGTTTGAAAATTTCTTGACTTGAGTCCCTAGAGCGACTAGCCTAATCTAGAAAACTAGGAAAACTAGCTGAGGGAATCTAGATTCCCTCACAGTAATTGTCCTGCCATCCAGGAGTAACTCAACCTCCCTCTGTACTATATAATTATCTCATGTCTAAACTTAACTCCAACATCCTCCAGGGTACTTAGAATTCTGTCCAGTTTAAATTAAATAAAAGAGTTGACCAAACCACACACTAGAAAGTGAATGGACGACGACGTTTTAGTCCATCCTGGACCATTCTCAAGTCGATTGAGAATTGTAAATATAATTTGAAATTATAATACATACAATTTCAAGTAAATCGATTACAAATAAATGGGCTTTTGCCAATTACATCAAAACAAAAACTCTCCAACTTCCATTTTAAAATTGGTATTATAATTGTATAATATACTCCGCCGATCTACGCATTTTAGAGCAATGTAACTTTATTATTCTTAATGTAGTTTCGTAAGAAAGATGTTAATGATTTTGGTCAACTTTGTCATCACTTCTCATTTACGGTTTCGAAAGAATGTGTATTATTTTTATAGTTGGATGGCAAACCTTATACATCACAAACAACTTAGATCTCAATAGATTCCAGGAAGTTTAAGCAGGTTAAAGTTGTAGGATAATATTACTATTGTAAATAATTTATATAAAAAGCCAATTATCATATATTTATATCCTGTTGTTTGAGTTCAGGTATGTTCTTAATACCCTTATCTACCAATTTTCAATACCCATTTTAGGTCAGTTCTAGCCATTATTTCCAGATCCTTTTATCTATATATCTGCCAAATTACAGTATCAATTTACATTTCACTTGAGTATTCCCACAGTTTGGATGAGTTTTAATTTTATTTATTGAGTAGTCTTTTTTGTATTAACTTAAAATATTCATATATTGTTGTTAACTCAAAATTATTAATAGGCATTTCATATTATGACCAGAAGAGGTCCAAGAACCTCTTCTTGGAAACTAATCTTTACTAGAATAACGGAGTAAATTTTCGTTTATATTCACTATGTGGTTCGATATTCATTGATTAGAAATATGTTCACATTTGTTCCTACAGCACTCTGTTGACTGTCTTGTTCTTCACGATACTCATAGCAGGCATCGTAGACGCATATATTGAGAAAACTAAAAATAAAGCAATGGCTAAAGGTGAGTTAAAATTTACCAACTTACTGTCAATATGTTGACCACTGGGACATGGAGGATTTTTTATTTGTCAATGTAGACGTTTTTATTTTAAATTTTATTTTTAAATTTCTATGTAGAATTTTTTATTTCTACGTAGACGCATATATTGAGAAAACTAAAAATATAGCTATGGCTAAAGGTGAGTTAAAATTTACCAACTTAATGTCAATATGTTGACCACTGGGACCTCGAGGGTGTTTTATTTGTCAATGGTCAATATTATTTGTTATCCAATCAAATGAAATTAATATTATAGACAATTAATTGCGTCGACTAATTTACATTGTTTGGTGCAATTATCCTACTGGACTTGTTGATGTGTAGGAGTTTATCGTCAACCTGTTGATATGTTGCAGCTCATTCTAAATTTGTTGGTGTGTCGCTGCTTATCCTCAGCCTGTTGATGTGTTGCAGCTCATTCTAAACCTGTTTATAAGTTGCTGCTTATCCTCAATCTTTTTTAATCTTTATAATGTACTCTGTTTCATTTATATATTTCATCTTCATATTAGCAAAGTGGCCTTCTGCTTTCAATTCGATCGATGGTTTAGCAGAAGTAATGAGTTCTTGCAAGACTATCCAGATATCCTGCAACAAATTTTAAGAGATTATGGGAACAAATAATCTGTATGAAATCAAAGAAAGACACTATTGAGAACATTCCTTTAAGATTCAAAGTGAACAAGATCGCTCATTGAAGGCATGAAAATTGTTCTTTGTAAATTGGTTAATATCCTTTTTTTTATTGAGTTGTTATATTCTTGTATTCTTGTGTTAATGAACAGTACTCAGCGGGGCAATAACTGTTATAATCTGTGTTATTTTTTATTTTAATTCATACTGTGGGAAATTTTCCCAGCAGGAATTTATTTGATTTATGTACTTTAAATTGTTGATTTATTAGTTTACTTTTAATTTAGGATTATTAATTAGGAATGCACTATATTAATAGCAAACAGTATTTTGCAAAGTTAACTGTACTTGAAATTTATCCTGTTGGATGTTATTCTACTCACAAGTTTGGGGGTATAACTACATAGCCTATACCACCAATAGTGGATTTGTGGGATATCTGGGGCTTGACTCATATATTCAATTATTTACTTATTTGATTTAATAAATCGAAGGACCACCCACTTTTGAGAAAAGAGGGAAAACTAATAAAAGTGATCATTAGAATAACACTAGAGAACCAGTGTCTATGGATAATTATTAAAAGGATAATCACTTGAAATAATGAATGGACTGTATTATTAATTAATTAAAGTCAGAGCCTCAAAGACCTACATTGGGGGGGGGGGGGATTTCTAGAAATTCATATACATATAGGAACCAGTGTGGTTCGCCACCAGTTCATTGTTGAGTAAATGATATTATAAATCTAAACTACTATAGATTCAAATATTAGAACTCAAATTGTGAATATTAAAGATCATGAATTACTGAGCAACACATTAGTTACCAATCATCATTTCTGGTAATAATCTATTCAATGCAAAGATTCTACAGGAATTATATAAGAATAAAAAATCATTTAAAATAAATTTGTACGAAAAATGTCTTAGCTTTAAGACGATTTCTGTAACATCATTTCGTCATTCATCCTCGTGTTCACAGGATCTCCACAAAGAAAGAACTCGAGGTGAATATCACGAATGAAGAGAAACAACTTGATGACTCCTCGCATACACGATGAAATCAGAGAAATTTAAGTAGCATTTGAATTGGCTACGTTTTATTTTCAATATTCATGAAAACGGAGGAAATTGCCGAACTTGTAATAACGTTGTATATTGGGTATCCTTGCTATATAACGACAAACTACTCACAAATATATAATCTAGGATGATGCATCAAACGAGAAACATATACTTATCGTGAGCGTATTGAATACTGAGGTCTGCCGGAACCGCGTCAGCCAGTCCCTGACGTTCACTGCTGTGTACGTGTAATTACGGGTCTTGGCTTCAATTGTTGATGCGTTATTAACTGGTTGGGCACTATAGAACACGGGGATGAGTAATTATTAACTGTTGACCGAGTATCAGCGTAATTCTTGCCGATAAATTCCCCAGTCACTACCACGTGTCTCGCCACTCTTCACACCAGGGATGCCTTCCCCACAATGGCGTCGCCGCCTCCCTCAACCCGTCTCTCGCATTCACCACAGAAATTATTAATCACGAATAATTCTTTTCCGCGCAATTATGGATGTAATACATTAATGAGAACTGGGTTGCAATTATAGGGATTTAAATATTATCATATTCTCGTTTTATGGTGTTAAACGAGAAATGGAAAAGATTTTATTTTCTCCATGACATTCGTACGTAAGCAGAAAGGACTGCTACTACATAATGATTTAGTTAATAACTCTCGGTTTGAGATTATTGGGAGTTATATTATCCATAAGTAATTATTACATGGAATACTGGTAGTTTTAGAGAACCACATTTAATTCTCTAACCCATTGGTAATGAATGTGTCTAACTGGACATTATCTGACGCAATGTTGCTACTCGATTTCATGAGAATTCTAGCATTAATATGCAGATGCAATGGTTAATTTATGTTGACACTACCGCTAGTGAAATTAGTAACTACTGTATTTAGTATATAATGATAATGATTTATTATAATACAATAGTAGTTTATTAGTGTTGGAAATTTCCTACATAACTCCGGGGGGAGAAAACTCTGGTCGCAGTGCAATGTTGAGTACTGACATACCTATCCCAAAGTTAGTATTAATGTTTGTATGTTAGTACACACATAACGGATGTCCCGTAATTGTCAAGGACATACAAGAATTTTAAGCCTTGTAAAAGAACTCATGTTGAATGAAACATGGAAATGTGAATCATCCAAAGTTAATGACTAATAAAGCCTACAATATACTCTGTGACTGGTGTCGCTATGACATGTAACGTTTATGTTACTAAGTCTTAAAGTTTTGCAAACTCATAGATACTCTAGATGAAATAATGTTATAGTTGATAGCCTATACAAACAAATTAAGAATTAAAGTATACAATTTAAAGTAACTGAGAATCCACTGCGAGGTGAATGTTTTCCGTCATGGTGACTTGTAACTGATTTGTTACTTGACATCACAACACAGCATCATCATGATTACTCAAATTGGATGGGAAATTATTTGCTCTTAGTCAGAGCTATAATAGGCTTGTAGTTTCCGTTTGTATTGTTGAGCAGCTGCTCTAGTGGGGCGGGTGCTCGGTGGATCAGAATTGTTGTCCTCGGAAACTGTTGGTGAAGCTGGTTCTGATAAACACTCTCGTTTTGCTAATTCGAGAGGTACCAACTTCCCTAAAGTTTTTAGGGTAGTAGTGCCTCGGCACAAAACCCGTACTACTCTCAGGATGCCTTGGTGATCTGGGTGGATAGCAACAATTTTGCCTATAGGCCATTCTGACCTTGGTCCATCACTGTCAACCAATACTAGGTTTCCTGGTTTAAGTTGAACTTTATTATAGGGGCTCGAAGCTCCATAGTGGTACTCTCGTAGAGCTGTGAGGTACCCTCGAGTCCACACCTCATTCCACCTTTCAATTACTCTCGAGAGATGTTGGTAACTTTCTACTAAGTCACTCCTGGTTACATGGGAAGGGTCGACGGGGTCCTCTTCTGCCAAAGGTATCAGAGGGCTCAGCAGGCCTCCATGTATTAAATGTGAGGGACTCAGAGGTTCTCTCTGTGAGAAATCATCTGATAGGTAAGTTAATGGGCGATTGTTGACTCGAGCCTCAATTTCCACGACGAGTGTTTAGAGTTCGGAGTAACTAATTTTCTGTCGATGCAAGGTCTTCCTTAAACTCTTCTTGACAGTCCCTATCATACGTTCGTAGAACCCACCTTGCCAGGGGGCTCTGGGAGCAATAAATTTCCAGTGGCATTGTCGTCTCTGCAGGACAGACTGCACTTCTGGATGATTCCATATCTCTCGTAGGCAGGCTTCTTCTGCCACAAAATTTGAACCAATATCAGATATCATTAGTTTGGGACAGGATCTGCGAGCTGCAAATCTACGAAAAGTTTGGATGAAGGCTTCGGCACTCATGTCAGAAGTCACTTCTAGATGTACGCCTCGTGTGGTAGCACACGTGAAGAGGCAAATATAAGCTTTCACTGTTATCTTATCTGGATTGCCAGTGAGAAGCAAGGCTCCTGTGTAATCGACACCAGTGGTCTCAAAAGGACGAAGATGAACTACTCTCTCCTTAGGGAGTGGTGGAGGTCCTGGGTAAGGACACACTCGAGCGTCGTATCTTTTGCAAATCACACAGAACTTAATGATTGATTTGACAGTTTGACGACCTTGAGGAAGCCAATATTTCTGTCTGAGGTCGGTGAGAGTGTCTAACACTCCGCCATGCAAAGTACCATATTGATGGTGATGCAAAACTAGAAGTTTTGTAATAATGTGGTGACGTGGTAGAAGGATCGGATTCTTTGTATCCAAATCAATTTTTGCATGAAGCAAACGTCCTCCACACCTTAATATATTATGAGTGTTGGTATCATACCAGATACCTAGAGACTTGGTTAATTTATCTGGAAGATTTTCATATTCACTTCCATATGTCTCTTATTGTGCACGTTTGATCCAGTAGAGGATAGGATTTGGAAACTTATGTCGGATTCCTATCTTAGCAAGAAAGTCAAACACATGTGCTGTCACTCTTAATAACTTACTCAAGTTAGAATAATTGTGAGGATTAATAGCTGAGATTCGATGAGGTTCTGGTTCTTTCATGGGAGTAGTGATATTGGTCACTATGACTTGTGGCTTTTGTTTGGGCCACTGACCACTAAGAAGCCATGAAGGTCCATTAAACCACATCGAAGACTTGATTAGTTGTTTTAATGTTAACCCTCGTGATAAGTAATCTGCAGGATTGTCCTTAGTGGGGACATGTCTGAATTTATATCCAGCAGACAAT